ACTCGTTACCGATTGTAAAAGGAACGCGTTATCGTTACTTAACAGTAATGAAAAAAACCGTTACTTTTTTCGTTACTTTTCAAAAAATGATTGTATTTATATAAATATAGTCACATAAGAATAAATCGTTTTTAATTTATAGTTTTGTTTTATTTTGTATTTTATTAGCTTTATTTTATTTTTTATTTTATGAGTTCTTTATTTGGTTTTGATACTTTTGATACATATCAATTTACATTAGAAATAGCAGAATATTTTTTAACTTTAAATTATGATTTATTTCTCTAAATCTTGAATTTTTCTTCAATAACAATTGTTCAAAATATCCGTCTGTTAGGCGGTGTCGAAGATTCGACAAAACGCGAGTCCACCAATATTAAAAAGTTTTTCTTTTAAATTATATTCAATCTGGATGCATCTTTGATGCCAACATGCTGTGAACAAAGCACACAAAACTTGCGTGATGGAGAAGTGCGGAATAGCGCTGATTGGTTGCCTCAATGACGTATTCTCTATTCCGCAGTCCTTTTCCGCAACGTGTGATTTCACCCTAACTCTATATCAACGGAATAACGAGAAAAGTAACGTAAAATTTTGTTACTCGTTACTGAAAATTGTAACTTTGTTATCGTTACTATTACTCGCTAGGAAAAGTAACTACGTTACTCATTCGTTACTAAAAAAAATAACGAAACCAGTAACTTTATTACTTTTTTATGTAACATTAACAACTTTGGTAATTATATATACCTAATTATATATGCTGATGAAAAAAATAAAAGCTATAAAATTAATTAATCCAATCTTATTGCTAAAATAAGTATTATTGATTAGTATCATATTCCAGAATACACACGGCAAAATTAAGATAAAAAAATATTTCCCCATAAATTCAAGAATTAATTTCATGATGCTCCCAAGCGGTCACCCATCCTAAGTTGTATCCCATCTATGCGATCGTACGAAAACTGCTACTTCGATGATCCACGAACTTCGAATGTTAATGAATGTGTAACTGTAGCATATCTAGTCGATAGATATCATTACAGCAGTATTACAGCAACATTGCAACGTTCCAACAATATTGCAGTAACGTTGCAACAATATTGTATTGTATAAATGTCGAAGTAGTCCTACTTCTTATATATAATTATATATACATATATATAAAAAGCTATGTGTGAAAAACGTTAATATAAAATTAAAATAAACAAAAAAATTGAATTATGTTCATATATTTCTTATGACCTAATAAACAATTTTTCATACATTACTATCTTCCGTACAACACAGATGCTTGTTGTAATATTGCTGCAACCTTAAATCTTGCATAAAAGTTTGCAATGTTGTTGCAAGTTTTGTGCCGTAAGGAGTATAACTGTATATATAAACTAATAATTTTCCTGAATTATATAATATATAATTATATATTACATATTGAACGTAAACTTACCCGAAATTTTTATATATGATTATGTATGGTAATATAATTATATATATGTATATATTATATATATATAGTCATATAATTATATGTAACTGTATACATATAATTATATACGATTATTATATATATTATTATATTTGGAACTTTTTCTCACGATACCTTATGTATTTGTGACAATAAAAATTATTCTTAACCAATTAAATAGCTCACCAGCGTATACAAATGATCGAATAATAATAACAATTTACGTTGTAACACTAATTTTCTGAAAGATCGAAAAGAGAGTAAAATGGGGACAAGACCGAGAGAAGAAAGCACAATAATGATGACGGGATGGCCCAACTCCTCTCCTGTCGATACGACTATGAGAGGTGGATAATACGGATGATTCACTTTCTCTTTTTCTTTTCCTCTCTCTTTTTTGTCCTTTCTTTCACATCTCCGAGGTGTAACTAACTGGACGAAAGCTCGGACAGAGGGAGTTAAGGTAATGCTCCATTAGTATGTGGCACCCGTAGTAACACCATCACCACATAAAATAGTCGAACTGTGGTTTATTCTGGCCATCCCTTTTGGCTATATCTATGTATCTTGTAGAATACACTCACATTCATGTATCTGGAACACACTCACATCTATAATGGCAGGAGAGGACCTGTCAATAGCCAGCTTGTTACAGTGGCAATGATCGGCTTAACTAACAGGAAAGATCCATCCAGACGCACTGGATTTTTTCGGGACGATTGTCGGAATGCTGGACATATATGTCAACAGTACCTTTTCCTTTATAAGACTGCCGGACACATTTATTCTTATTCAAGTCTCCCTGTGAAATTTATTATCGCTAGATAAAATGGCGTTTCAAGATCGAAAAAGGTTTTGGCTCGCAATATGCAGAATCAGATACAAATTCACACAGAAATATTTAAACACTAAAATCCTTTGAATGAATCGAATAAATTTTTGTATTTAATTAGATTTGTTTCTCTCTTCGATCTAAATTTGTATTATAAATAAAACAATATAATATGAACATTGACATTCTCTCAATGCAGAAAAAGCAAGAGAATCACTATTACAGTTTTCGATTTTGTCTGAAAATTTGCTTATATATGGAAGTCAGAGTGGAGAAATAATTATATTTAAATTAATTATAGTACATAACTTAATTATTAATTATAAATTAATTATAATTGATATAAATAGCACAAAGGTTAAAATTTTATTACAGAAATCCCTGATGAAAAATTCTATTCTAATTTTTAATTATTAAAGTCAAAAGACTAGATGATTGATACAAATTTCTGTCTTTTAGAATTAAATAAGAGAAGATCTTTCCTATCAATATTTTATTACAAAATAATTACATTTTTTATATATAAGATAGTGATAAAATATGAAAGTGACATGTTTTATCATCATAGTCAAAACATTACTTAGTTTTACATACGATATAATTTAATCGAGAGAGATAAAACAGATAGATAAACAAGTACCGTATGGCAGTTGTTACGTTCTTAAAGATGACAAAGATTGAATTCTAAAAGGATCACATGAGACGTGTACGTGACGAAAACCTAAGTTGCTTATCGCCCTGCGACATTGTGTATCACCATCCCTGTCGTTTTCCTTCCGAGAATCGGATAACTACACTTATTCTTGCATCATATTGCTACAACAATCTTAATGAGCAGTGTACATCTGATTAATAAGATACCTTCTTTACTCAGAAACATAAAAGTATTCAAATGATGTTATGGTATGCAAACTGATCTTATAACTTTATAATAAAAAGTGTTATAGAAAATATTACGACAATCTTTATATAATCCTGTAAAATATAATCGAATTTCACAAAACGTCTACAAAATGACAAGAGAAGGCTGTTATTAAAAATTATTAGATTCTAAATGTTTTTGTCAAGAGAAAAACAATTTTTTTAAATCCATAAATAAAAGATATTTTTAATGTGAATTAAAAGGATATACCCACCGAGAGAGAGAGAGAGAGAGAGAGAGAGAGAGAGATTTTTTCTTCGTCATTGATTTGTATTTCAAGTATCGCTGAAGAAATATAAAACTTACAATGTGCTTCTTTAAGAAAAAGAGACAGAGAGAGAAAGAAAGAGAAAGAATATCTATTCTCTCTTATCACAGTTCCAGCAACAAGGATGCAAGTCACCAGCCCTCGAGCGCGGTAGGAAGACATTGATGTGAATTAATGGCAGCTTAAGTTATAGTTAGCGCTTCAGTGTTCCGCGTGTGTTGGAGGGGGGACGCCCACAGCGCTACAGTATTAATTAACGCGACCCTAAAATCTCCTCTTAACCCCTGAACTCTCGTTTAAACGGTACTGTATCATGGATACAGTCTCCCTGTTAAGAAGCCGCGACGAGACGAGAAGAAAACGAGGACAGAAAGGGGGAAAGAGAATATTCTATAAATATCATTTACTCTTTCGCTCTAATATAAATTTGAGGCGTGTCTGTTATGCAATGATAGACGATTACAGACCATTTCTAAAATGGCCCTACCATGTGAGTTTTATTGATCTCACGTCACCAATCAGATTATTGCGTTTAATTTTCCATGTTTTACATTTACAAATAAATGGCCCGTCGATATATTAATTAATAATTTCACATTAATTATTGAAATGTTTGTTAATTTAGGATTTTATTGTTTAATTTATATAAATATATAAATTTAAGAGATTGATTACAGAGAAAATTCAAACGTGCAAAAACGCTGTCAAAAAATAAATAAACCTGATTAAAAAAATAAAAAGGTTTATCTTTTATTTTTTTTAAACATTTTAATTGTAAAAATTAAAAACTATAAAAGGTAAATTATTTAGATGTGCTGCAAAATTTAAAAAATAAATTAAACCATAAAATCTATCATATTAAAAAGTAGTAAAAATAAATTTATAAATATATAAATTATATTTACTTTTTTTTTCGCTGTTCTATAGGAAGCTAAATTTAAGAAAATGTGTTCTAAAAAAATTTTGAAAGTATTATTTATTTATTATTTATTATAATTATTAATTATAATTTTATTTTATTATATTTTAATCGTTTAGCTGAGTTAAGGCAGAGTTCTACTGTTGTACCAAATAGTAAGAGTAAACATAATTTATATATATGCATATATGAATGTGCGTGAGTATTTGCGCGTGCGTGCGTGCGTACGTGCAAGCGTGTGTGTATGTTTATCTTGGCTATTTTTTCATATAATCTATTTGATGATTTAATAACTTTAATTTATATTTATATATATAAATTCAAAAGGTTGATTATAGGATATAAGTTTTACAAAAGTTTATAAAAAGTTCAAACGTGTAAGAACACTTTCGAAAAATGAATAGGTTTGAATAAAACGTTTATCTCTCATGCCAAGAAATCGGCTTTGCTATCGTGAGGGATAAAAAGCGAAATTTATAATCCGGAAAAACAATTATGGAGGTCCCGATCGAATGTCAGGGCTGCCGCACTGGCAAAAAATGACTAATATCTTCTATTTGATTTATATGTTCGCAAGCAATGGATCGCGTGGCCGGATGCTGGAAGGAAAGGGGCGAAGCGGATATTAAATAGAATATTAAAGATTTAGCGCACAAGAGACAACACTGCTCGAAGTTCAACCGATCTGGACGTCTATTGAACGTGTCACTGAATGTAGAGAAGTTATATGTCTCTTATAAGTCTCTACACATATACGCGAAAGCCAAGAAACGGTTTCAGTGAGAGTCATGAAGGCGGGGGATCAAGGCAAAAAAGGCTGCCCATATCAATAAACTGACCGCCATAAATCGTACGCGTTACATACGTGAGCGCACATATGCATATATTTACATGTGTTACTCACCTATATATATATTTATGACATTCACATTTTACAAGTTGTATCCGTAACGCGTTTAAAAAATCTTTGCATAAAACGCGCGAATATTAATTCTTATGGTTCCGTCACACCAGTGCGATTCACGACACGACGCAACATGCGACCCGCGAAATCGAATCAACGTACAGCTCTTCTGGAAAAACAGTACATTAATTGGATATCATGCGTCGCATGTCGCGGATCGCGCTGGTGTGCCGGAAGCATAAAGCCTCATCATCTACAATAGTCGCACAGACTGTGTCGCATGTCGTATGATAATGTCGCAGGAGTGTTGCTTCTATCGCATAATTGTCGCAGTCGTAAAAGTTCTTGTCGTACGGAATTGAGTCAACTTGAACTTTTTATGACTACGACAAGCGTGTCGTGTGAGCTCAGCCAATCATAGCACAGCAAGTTTGGCGGCAGAATTTGTTATCGAATTGCATGCAAACAATCCTTGCGACTGTTGTAGATGCTCATTTAGCGACACTCTTGTGACATACGACAAAATTTCCTGCGACGCTACTACTCGCGTCGTGCGACACAGCCTTTGCGACTATTGTATTATAGATGAGACCTTACACATGACTATATTTAGGGTCGCTATAAGTAGGTGTGCAAGTTGCGCATTAAAGGGAGCGCTAAATTAAGTTTCAATTCTCCGTCTGTAATTATATTTTTACTTTTTCCGTCTACAATCTATATTTTGTCCAGCTCAATTTTTGTACTGTTACAGACTTTCAAAAAATATGGAAAATTTCATTGTCATAATTTTCAATATCTTTTTCCTAACAAGATCTCTATTAACAAAATATTTTTTAAAGGAAAAACCGAACTCCGCTCTTGTTTCGGAGAAATTTGAGAATAAAATTTTGTATTAAAAATGACTTTAAAGACTAAAGTAAAGATTGCAAGAGAAGGATTAAAAATCAATTTTCCATTTTTAACATCAACCATATGCATCAAGATACTGATTATTTCTCTATAGCAAAGTATGAAAAGTGACAAATTTTTTTTAATTTCAATGATAGAAATTTTTACGTTTCACATTTCTGTTCTAGGAAAAAGATAACATACTTAAATTGCTTGTATAGATATCTTTTAAAAAATTATTTAGAACATATTTTATTTAAAAGATTGGTAAATAAAAATAATAAAAGGAGCGATAAAATTTCCTTTGCACAAAGGAAGTTCTCTTGCTTTGTTTTTTTTTATAAAAACATTTATTAATCATTATAAAAATAATGATTAATAAAAATTACCGCTGAAGTTGTCAGACTTATGTTTACAATTATATTTAAATATTCAAATTGTAAATGACATCATTTGCAATCTGCATGCATTATTTCTTCTTTTATTCTTCTTAATATACATTTTTTACACATTAATGAATAGTATTTGAATCTTTATCTGTCACAATTTATACATGTCGTGAGAATTGATCAAACGAATCTAAACGGACTGTAAATGTAGACAAAATAGAAGCATTTTTCACACATTTATATGAAAGTATTCTTAACACTTTTATTTTCCGCCTGTTATTTTTCCTTCCATCGCGTGAGCCTCTTTGCGGTCGAGTAATAAAATCCGACTGCGGGCAGTTTCGTCCAGCCTGGACGAACGCCTTATTGCATGTAAAACATTTATGTACTCTAGATATTGGCCAGCTCCTACATTGGATCGAATTCCGCGCACAACGTTTCCATAATCTTGCAGACAATGATAATAATTATTTATAGTACAATTTTTTTATGTATTGCGTAAAATATTATGTACAAATTAAGAAATAGTTTCGAAGTGCATAATCTCAGAATAAAAGAGAGCAAAAGCACTGAAATAAAAGTTTCGACAAAATTGAAATTGTATTATATAATGCAATTCATTTCTTAAAGATAGATTTTGAAAGGACTTTGGAATTGCAAAAGATATGTATGTAAAAAAAATTAATGTTGTAAAAGACTTTAAGGATCTAGAGTAACTCCGGTATGTATTTACGCCGGGCATTTACGCCGCAGATGTCAGAAGAACAGAAGGAGTAGAGGTAATTTGTACGAACAACTCTGTTATATTATATTAGTATCGTATTATGATTTTAGCCTTTCACTGTTAATATTAATAAAACCATTGTCAGTTGATTTGTTAATGTTGTAAGTAGCGCAATCATATATCACGACTTACATAAAATGATTAAGGGAGACCGGAGCTTGTTGGCACAGTTTTGACAATTTCAGCATTAGATATTTTAAACAATTAATTATTTTGATTAAAATGTACTAATATGACAGAGAAAACCTTTTTCTACATTTTCATATCAGTAATAAATTTCAAATCAGGTTCTATTTATTTATTTCGTATCTGTTTTTTATTAAAAGGAATGTAATATTCGATACCTTTTTGCACTTGGCGTATATTTTTTCTTTTTTAAAGAGGTTTTTTTTTTAGGAATTTCACTGCTTTTTGTAAATTTTTGAAACCAACGTCGTCGACGTCCGGCGTTGTCGCACGGCGTCATTGTCGTCGTCGTCGTCGTCACCCGGCGTCGCCTGGAATCGCCCGTCTTCGTCCAGAGTCGCCCGGCGTCATCGTCGTCTGTTCTCTCTCTCTCTCTCTCTCTCTCCCCCCCCTCTCTCTCTCTCTCTCTCTCTCTTTCTCGGTGTCGCCTGCACCAATTTTATTCGGACTGGTTGCAATTGAAAGATACCGATGACATTATATAATAAAAGTGTTTTTAGATTTTTGATTGTGATTTTAGTTTTTGAGTAATTTTAATCTAAAGTTTGTTGATGTCAAAACTTTAGATTTTAGGTAAAGCTATAGTGGTAGCGTTGCGAATTTGACGACACGAATATACAGGGTGTATAAAAAGTACCGGGATGGCAAAATATCTCGAAAACTAAGCATTTTAGGAAAAAGTGTTTCAAGTAAAAGTTGTAAGATTTCAAAAGATCTATTTACTGGCGCAATGAGTTTGACCTTAGGTGGCGTCGCCAAAGCCAAGTCACGTCGATTTTTTTAAATGGAACACCATATTTTTCATGCCAGAATTTAATAGCCGGTCAAGAGCTTTTTAAAACACTATAATAAAGTTATTTTTCATTAAGTACTTTTCGAGTTATAAAACTTGAAAGTTACACTACCGCCGGCATTAAAATTACGTAAGGTATCCAATCGATGGCTAAACCCTCTTAAATGTTGTTCAGGATCATGTCCTGGATAACATTTGTCAAGATCAAAGTCATTAGAGGTTGTATCTCTTATTTCATTTTTACGTAAAAATGAATTCTTAGCAAAAATGAAAATAAGAGTAATAATCTCCAATAGCTTTAATCTTGATAAATGTTATCCAGGACATGATTCTGAACAATATTCAAAAGATTTTGGCCATCGGTCGGACACCTTGCGTAATGTTAATTCCAAGTTTGTAAGCTAATTGCTGGATACGCAAACTTACAAATTTGGATTTTATTAATTTTGTGCGAATATACAGCTTAAATGTAAACAGAAAATTTATACAGAAAATAAAAAGTCTATGGCAAATCCAGTAGTCCAGTTACGAATGATACAAGCTTTTATCACGTCTTTATGCTAATAAAAGATTTTTGTAGCGATGAAAATAGTGACAATTCACAGATCGCTAGTCGTCTTCTTTCGATTTTTCTCTGGCTCACTCCTCTCTCCTTCCCCCCTCCCCCCTCTCTTTTCTCTCTCTCTCTCTTCAACCATCCATCGGCCCATCAGTCCTCCAGGGGTTGGCCACTATGGCGATCGCGCAATAATACTAAAAAGATAAGACCTCCGGGAAAGAGAAGGGGCGCGATGTGATGCTGTCCACCCTTCGGGAGCAAGCTATTGCTCCGAGGCTAGGTGGCCCATAAGCTACTGACCTTATATATATGTATATGGGCCGTAAGGAAAGACTTGCACATGTATCCAAACACACTCCTCACAATGGAGTCATGACGTGTACGACAATTTTCCCGCGCATCGCTGTGTGCTGCGCTAATAATGGGCAGACGAGCCGATCAGCCAGTTGACCGTGACTAGATAAAAAATACTGCCTGACAGTCGACTACCCTCGGACTTGGACTGCTGGCGCTTACCCTACACATAATGCGGACAGAGGAATAACAAACTATCGGACTGACTCTCCGGGACAGTTGTCATGCTAATCACGTACAACTTTGTGGGATGCGCGTTAACGGCAGGGGCAGTTTGCGTCAGAACCCTAAAAACTCGGAAAAGAGACTGGGTAATGCGGATCGTAAATTCAGTTTTTTTTACAAGAAAAGCGATGGATCTTGTGATCGATACTGTGCATCATATGCACACATTCATAGCATAGAATTTCTTATAATAAAATAAAGATATTTTATCTAAATATATTTATATACATAAACATATAATATTTCCTTTTTTTATTTCTGTATTTTCATTATTGTATTATTATCGGCCAAAGGGAGCAAGAGGGAGAGAGGGAAGCCATACTCCTCCTAAATCTTAAAAAGCAAAAATAATTAAAACACTTAAACAGATTATGCTTAATAAGTATTCACAAGAAATTAATTTTGGAAAAGAAGAAATAATTGGAAATTAAATTTATAGAATAATTTTCTGAGAATTCGGTTAAGACGGTTAGTGTCATAAATTTAAGTTTTTCCAATTCAAAAGAATAGTTTACAATTTTAAGAGAAAATATATATATTTTAATGGATTCAAAGAGTCAAAACTAGTTTTTATAACGCTAATTTATTATATAATATATATATATATACATACATTGTTTAAATATATAATCAAAACGCTTCGACTTTTAATGTGGTACTCATCAGTGAATATAAACATATAAAATTTTCGTCATGTACAGATACGTGATAGTTTCATATTTGGATAAAATATAAATTAGTATTGATGCTTCGTGAAATAGGAAATTCATCTTAAAAATATCTCTACAATATATCTCGTACAATATGTGATTATCATTTGATTTTTTTATGTTGACTTTTAGTTATTTTATGTTGACTTGTTGGTTCTTTATTTTTTCCAAAAGAAAATAGTATTCTTATGAAGAATCTCTTGGTTCCCTTGCCGACGTACCAGCAATTATCAACATTATTAATTTGATTTCTTGATGTACTATAACAAATATTATTTAACAAATTGATTCGAGATTGTTAAAGTAGGAGTGGTATGCTTATAATTGCATTATAAAATCATGATTGCTTCTTGAGGGTATAAGTACAACCTTAAATAATCAATATGTGCTGTTCAGAAACAAACATTGTAATGAGAAATAGACGAAAA